TATATATTTACAACCTTCATCCTATCAAAAGAACAGTTTAGTAGTTAGATGAGCTAGTTTTTACTCTGCACACTGATCTAAAAACAGTTTAGTGGTTTGTTTATGATGGATAAGGTTAAGATCATTAGTACAAGATAATCTTCAATCTGCAGAAAATACTGTATGGAGTGCTGTAAGTGTGCTTCTAGAAACAGTATGGTCCAGCTGTTGTGCAATATTAATAATATTGTCTTATTTGCGTTGCAGGTCTCGTAGTCGAGGTCATGCACAGGCCGATGATGAGGACAGCATGGATGCCACTGATGTCACACCAACTCCAGACATTGACATCGCATCGGAGATGGGTGAGATTTTTTCCCCCTGAGTTTGCTGTGCCAGTTCTGTATCTACGACACTATAGTGAAATAAATGTATGTATTTGAGTTGTGAATTTAAAGTCTGAAATTGTTTTGGTGTGAATTCCTCTGTTCAAATTACATGCGTCACACAATAGCAAATGTTTAAGTTTGCAAGTCACTAAAAATGCATTGTCAATGCTGAATTCTCCCTAATCAGCAAATGGAAATTCTGTCAACTGGCCTGAACCTTTCACATTTTTCCTGGACCGTTTTCAGTGTTGAGCCCTGGAGGAGATAAAATGACTTGGCACTGAAAAAATAATACAAAGACAATAAATAACAAACAACACAAGCCCTGTTTTTAAGATGCGTTTTTGTCAATCCGATCACAAGTGGTCAATTCTAAGTAAACAGGGTCTGAAAAATGTTGATTTTGCTGAAAGCACGTTCTATCAGTTTGCTTTCGTCGGGTAGACGCTCATATGGTCTCAAAATATCACTTCCTCTCTACCTACTGACCTAATTTCTTGCGACATAACGGGATGTGTTAATCAAGTGCGCTAGCCAGATGGATTTATACTTTACCAGCTGAAATCGTAAATTTGGTTTGAAGGTGAAAAATATTTAAGATGCACAATGGTCTCTTCCCAGTCCTGATTCTAACACAAACCCACAGTGTTCGGCATAGTTAGCAGAAACTATATCTGCAGTGCACACAGACTGAAGTAGTTTAAGTCTTTGGTTCTTTTAATTGTGATGATTTTGGCTCACAAATAAATAAAGGTGACTTGACTTGACTTGACAAAAGAGATGGATTAAAACTAGAGATCGACCGATATATCGATTTACCACGTAGGCTAAAATAATCCGTCAAGTCCTCTCCCAATAAAGACGTAACTTTGCATTAATTAAATAATACAGCCATGAATGAGCGCATGTTGGAAATAAAATGTAATTCTAAATTTAATTCTCTGTCTGTTGTCTATGCTCATCGTTAGTCTCGTGAAGCCGCTTTCATATTGCTGTTCTATCGGTTATCGGGCACATAAACATGCAAATAATTGGTATCGGTATCGGTTATAAAATATCAATATCGGTCGATCACTAATTAAAACACCAGGTGTAAATGGGAATGTGTCTCCATTGTCCACTTGTTTTCAGATTGACGTCTTAATACCAAGTGTCAACAGGGCCACATTGTCATATTTTTTCCCTGCATGACCGTTATAGTCCAATTTGCAAACAAATGGCTTGATCGAACAGACTCACAAATCAGTCATGTTTGTGTATGTCAGTATTGTGGCTTTAATCAGTGGAATAACTTAAGGGTTGTTCATATGACAATAATCAAAGATACATATTCAGAAATGTTTTCTGGCAAGTTTCTGGATATTTTTTTTTTCTTATCACTAGTATATAATTTGGTACGTGTCTTGTGTGCACTATACTTCATAAACAATCTTTTGTGTAATTCCACGTTCATGTGTTTTGGTGTGATTTGGATAGTGTACAACTTGATAGATGTTCTTTGGTGCATTGACTGATGTTCTATCATCTATTTATGCAAATATTGATTTGCAGTTATGTGATTCCAGGGGAATATTGTGTGAACAGAAATAAGACCTTTTTTCCCTTCATTTCCATTGAGTATTTGTCACTATATCTTTTTTGTAGATAATTAATAAAAAAGAAGCACACCCAATCCCCCTCCTGCCCTTTTGCACTTTTCAGTTATATTCTTAGGTGTTAGTCTGTGAGATGGCAGATGATTAATGCTCACAAAAAAGCTTTTAACATCTTCGTTGCTTTTAGTAAGCTAGCACTCACACTTTATCCTGGTAGACAGCTTGCCTCTGACCTGAAGTTCATGCTGTTTTATCTGTGGTCTGACGCCATTACTGGCTGATAGCATATGAAACATCAGAAAAACACTTTAGTTGTCACTGCTACCGTTTTTCACAAACGTGTTCTGGTAACCAGTCATAGTGTCTTGTATTCTGATCTCAGCCACATTTTGAAAGACTACTGAAGACGCATCAGGCATTATAGGAGAAAACTCAGAGCTGTTATCTCTCTCTAGTATCATAGGCCTGTTTTGAATAAGGTGTAGAGATGTAGTTGTGTGTGAAGACAGTAAGAAACCGCACTAAAATAAAGATGCTGCACATGCTTCAGTGACACAAGATATTTATTTATAGATATCTATTATTAATGTCGGAACAAAAAAAAAAAACTTTCCAAAGGGGATGACACAGAGTTCCAAAGGGGATGACACAGAGGTCCTGAACATTATTTTGGCGGCATGCTTTGCTCTGAAGGGTTCAGATTCTGAGCTGTCCACAAACAAACCTCATTGAGGTTTGAAACCCCTGAAGGCTAATGCAATTATCAGAATTTTTATATGCAACAGATATAAAATTCCATGCAGAAGTGATACAGGTCTGTAAGTGAGATTGGACAAGATTAAGCAATGATTAGCTGATAGATAATTTCTGTGGACAAGACGCTAAGTGATCATGTAACTGTATAAGTAGAAGTTGGGGATGGAGGAGGGTAAGCGCATTTCAGTGTGACACACTAAGGCAAGTGAGAGTACGGATTAACTTATATATCTTGTTTAATTTGTAGTGGGAGGAGTTATGCACAGCTGAGCGTCAGCTGACGTAGGCTGTCATGCCATGGTCAGTCTTTGTGTAGGCCCTGCTGATTTTCTGTCCAGTCTTAACTTTGCATGCTCTCTTGTCTCAGCACATTCTAATTTCAATTAGAATCAGGAATGCTGTTCTCTGGTAAGTGGTTGGTGAGGGTATTAACAGAAAACTGATGTACGTCAGACAAAATTCTGAAAAGAGTCCATGAGAGGGAAGAATGATGCTCAATTTATTATCCCCCCCCACCCCCACCCAAAAAAAAAGGAGTATAACGATTAGCTTACTTTAAGGCTATCGTTGTCTCCTTCGCTGCAGGCTATTGGCAATACCAAAAGCCTGAGCAACAAGTATGTTTCCAATTAGTGTTGTCACGGTACCAAAATTTCAGTATTCTGTACCAATAAACACTGGAAGAGGATAGCTTTCTAATAGCGCATCAAGAACCTGGTTGACCGGGTACTCGGTACCACCGGTACTTAAAAAAACCTGGTACCGTAACGTTTTCATTTTTTTAGTACCGACTTGGTACCGAAATACCGGGTCTTTTGACAACACTATTTCCAATAATACACAAAAAGCTTTGATCAACAGTACCTTTCCTTAAAACAGCTTAGCAACAAGTCAGCAAGTTAGTCAACAAGAACATTCCAATAATATGTTCATATATAATGTAATACATTCCAAGTATATGTTCCAATAATAGTAATAAGCATGTCGCCAATAACCTGTTAACTTTTAATTATAAGCATAAAAGGAAAACTTAGCTTAGCTTATGAAGACACATTCAGATGAATGGAGAGTGAAGTATATTGAGATGTGAAGAAGATGCTTGATCTTACTGATGTAAGACATCACTAACAGGTAAAGTAAAATATAACGAGTATATAGTCTATATTTCACAAAATCATTTAGTTATAGCGAACTAACGATCTGTGGACACTGATGACTGCCTGAAGTAAATGAAATGCTACGTGACATTTTGTTTACAAGCTGATTTATTGTCGTCTTTCCGCGGTTGAAACAAATAATACAAACAAATAAATAAATAAAATAAATAATTTGATTTTTGGGCTGCTGTGTATGAATATTTTTTTCTCCCCTTTTGAGTTTAATTTATTTCATTTATGTGTTGATTTATTTAGATCGCCATGATCACCAGCATGCCACGGATGCTGTCAGTAGAACGTACCTTTGAAATATTGTGCCTTTTTAGATATATTTCCCAGCTTGATTCAGGGTGATGTAAAGTTGTTTTCTTTGTGTTCCCTGCAAAAAACTTCCATAATAAATGGAATTTGTTTTGATGACTATTAACTGACTAAAGAGCTGAACACTGTGTAAATTGTGGTAGCCTTTTAGATCATGCAAACTAGATTTTTATGGCACAAATAAATGTCCATACTCACAAGCTTTGTCATGAGCTACATTTGTGTTATAAGCTTTGCATGGTGAGAAATAATTATTCAGCTATTGTCATTCTTCATGTCATATTGATATGTTTTCATCTTCTTTAAAAATGTACATCAAACTCTGGTACACACACAACCCGCCCCCCC